AAAAAAAAATAAATAAATAAAAATAAAAAAAATAAAAAAAACACCAGCTACTGGGCAAAGTATGGGGCACATGGCGGAACACCGGGACCCCTGGGTAAGCCCTCCTCCAAATGGGATTCAGGTAAGGCTCCCTACTGCTGGTGGCCAGGCTCACATGGGAACCGTGCAGCCACCATCAGGCTTCGTTAGAGTGCGACCCTATGCACAGGCAGATTTCCTTCTCCCCATACCTCCTAAAGGGACGTCCTGGAGCTGAGTCTTGTCCTTCCTCCACTCAGAGACAACATCCAAGAGAGCATTAAAATGAAAATCCATGCGCTTGTCAATGGTGGGGTCTGTTATTCTTCCACCTTCCTGAATTAAGTCACATCTTTCTCCAAATTTATGCATGCTGATGCCAAGCTGCAAAAGAATTAAGAAAAACAAGGTGAACATTTTCCCAGGGAAAAAATATTCACAGGTTCCAAGCTGCAATCAGACAGAGTTGTCATGAAAAAAACTCAAAAGTAAAGCTGAATGTCCTTCATGGGGAAGAACCGCAAAGCAAGGCAGTCAGCAACTGGCCCAGGATGCCCAGCACCTGCATTTATCAGCGCGACAGTGAAAGCGCTGCTTCTGTGCCCTGTGCCCTACGCTACCGGCCACTGTCTTCATGAGACTCTGCCTCCTCTGCAGAACTTCATGGACATGAACACAGACAACAGATCCTCAGAGATGCTGAAAATGGTTTACTGCCTATCAGTAAATGTCTAGGGAGAAAACCTTGGCCCAGCTACATTGCCAGATACCAGACAGAATGCCCCGTTAATTCACTTTCAGATAGCATTTTTTAAATTAGTAAGTATGCCCCCAAATATTACATGCAAAATATCCCTGTAATTTTTTTCCAGTACAGGGCTGAATGGCATTTATACTGGACTATAGCCCAGTGCCAACCCCAATTTTCTTTTTTTTTCCCCTGTGAGAGGGTATTGCTAAATTCCTAAGTTGCCCAGTCTGGGTCTGAACTTACGATCCTCCTGTCTCAGCCTCTCCCAGGGCATTACAGATGTGTAATACCAGGCCCTGCTCTTAATGAACTATTTAGAACATATTTGCACTAAACAATTAAGAAGCCTATCTACTAAATCTGGCAACCCAAATCATAAACTAATCAAGTGGCCTACAAATAGCACACAAATAAAATTAACGCTCTTGGAAAAAGAAAATCCTTTACAAGCCTTCACAGAAAATTGTCATTGTTCCCATTTACTCTGCAGAGAGGATGAGGGGCTGTTATATGTCATCCAGGCTCAAGGTACACTAATCCTGTGGATCTTTTTGTTGCTGCTAAGGATGGAACCTGGGGGCTCAAGCCCGCCAGACAAGTGCTCTTACCAATGTGCTACAGCCCCGATGCATGCAATACTGGACTCTGCATGAGCAAACCAAAACAATTTTTTTTTTCCTTTGGCTACAAAACAAATCTTAAAGAAACTCACTTGCTCACACATTAATGCTACTGGGTTATTGATACAGCCATTGACAATCTGCGGTCCTCTTCCCACCGTAACGCCCTTGAAAGATTTATCATCCCACACTCGGCCTCCAATTCTATCTTTGGCTTCCAGGATAGTCACCTAGAAAGACAAGCAGGGATCCAAGAAGGACAGCTCGGTCACCAGGGACAGTATCACAAAATTGCAAATGATGAGATTAAATTACTCCCATAATCTATCGTTTTTCTCAAGTTGCAACTTCAGTTGAGTTTGAGCAGACGCCCAAGCAGGTGCCTGGAACACTCAGGTTCTGGGGAGAAGAGCCTGGCTGCTCCGCTGCAGGAATCCCTCCTGCTTTCTCTCAAAGCAGGTAATGATCAGGTTCTACCAGTTAATGAAATGAACTTTGAAAGATTTTACTAAGTGATGTTCTGTAAGAGAAAGTGAACAGCTAGGTTAAAGAGCTGATTGTCCTGATATATCTATGCATACAGGAAAAATTCCTTTAGCACAGCAAATCGAATTTAAGTACATGAGGCACAACTATTATTATTGTGTTGTTGTTGTTAAATATCCACTGGGTATAAGGATGGGCTCAGGAGTAGCCTGAACACGCGAATCCCCCGCCAAGCCAGTTATCTCCCTTCACACTTCTAGTGCACGGGGATGAGAAGCTGCTCCTACAGGGAACGAGCCACATCTTACCTAGAGCCCTCGAATTCTAAGTGCCTCAGCTCCCTGGGTTGCATTTGCTGAAAATCTGAGACTTACTTATTACAAGACCAGCTTTGTAATTTGTGGATCCCTACAAGCACTACTTTAAATTGCTCAAGAAGAGCCCTCCAACTTAGCTGTCTCTTGGGTTACTTACAGGAATCTATCTCTAGTTCCAATCTTCAGAGGGATGGTCCCCAGCTCTCTCCCTCAGTACTTGGAAGCAGTACTAGGGTCCTCTGGACATTCTTTGTCAGCCTTAAACACTCCTCTACCTAGGAAGGCTCCGAGTCACAGTTCCTCCCCCTCAACCCTTAACTCTGACTTCAACTGATAACCAAACCATCCATTTCTCACTTCTTTCCCTCGAAGAGGAAGGCTGAATGTCAGAGATAGCTTCTGTGGACCTGGGCAGTAATAACCCTCCCTGCAATATGTTCTGTAGATTGTTGCAAGTAAAATACAAAAACTTTGGCCTGTTAAAATAATCACCTAAGACACTTTCCAGTTTAATACTAGAAAGAAAATATTTCAAAAAGCAAACACTTATAAATCAAACTCAGACTCCTGTTTTGTCAGCAATATAATGCAATCCTCAAATATGGTCTTCCATCCAAGCAGGAGAGAAATCTCGTAGCCACAGCTATGGGAAACTTTTCTCAGCAACTGGTCTCAAAAACCTTCATTGTGAAAAACGAAGCAGCATTTCTTTTAGCCAAAGAGAACAGTGAAAACGTGAATGCAATTCTATAAGTGCTTTCAAATTAAGTTTGAGCAAGAAGTATGTCAGAACTAGCAAATCAGAGTATCTAGGAGGTGACGAAATAGGTTAATGGAAATTAATGTTGAATCACATGATTTTTTGTGTATCACAGGCTCTACTGTAGCCAGTTGTGCAACTCCCAAGCTATCCTTAAATACCCATAATTCTACAAAAGCCATAAATTCTACCTCATCCAATGAACTGATTATCTGCTTCCAAAAGCAAAGACTTTTCTTTTCCAGACTAAAATTTAAAAACATATCTTTGATTTGCACCAGAAAAACAAGGTATTTCAGAAACTTTTATCTAAGAAACAGTGAATTTCTATGTTGTCTGCATCTCAAACCATCTACTCTACTGTGTTAATGATAATCTGTCAAGAACTTCTGCTTTAATATAAAGTTAGAATTTCTTCCAACTTGCTCCTAAGAATCTAAAACTCTCTGAAGCTGTGAAAATTTCTCTTATTCTACCTTTCTTCTGTTAAATCATTTTCAGTGGCTGGCCATGTGGTGGTGCACGCCTGTAATCCCAGCTCTTGGGAAGCTGTAAGCAGGTGGATCACTATGAGTCCAATCTAGTAGTGAGACCCTAAACACCCTGTAGACCCTTCCCTAAGATAAAAATAAAAAATAAAAATAAAAAATTTAAAAAAAAATCATTTTCCAATGATATAACTTTTCTAGGGTCTGTTATAAAGGTATAATGAACTTAATATTCTTCATTAAAATTAGGATCTAGTTTCTAAGTCTTAGAAAACTTGAACCAAATGAGCAATTCACCATCTGTTTCCACCTACACATCCACAAAATCTTACCTTAATTCCAAAGTTATGCAGTTGTCTAGCAGCGGCTAGCCCTGCTGGACCAGCCCCAACAACGATGACTGATTTCTGAAAAAAAGCAAACAGCAGGATGACAATGTACCACTAATCATTCTGAAGGTACTAATCACCAAGGGACATTAGCTCATCTGCATTTCTTTGAAGTCCTTAGAAAGTTATATACCTAAAGAACATGGAGTACCTATGGTAGTACTGCTTAATCCCTTCTCCCGTTTTTTTTTTTTTTTTCCTGCCATATGGAGAAACTATACTTGGTATTCTCTTCTTTGGAAAAATATTCTACAAAAGTCTTGGTTGTGAAAGTTGTATGGTGGTGTGGTTTTTCCTAGTATTACTAAGAGTGAACACCATGGTATTTTATCATGATCAACAGCAGTGATATTACTGAAGCCAGTCACCTACATTGTGATAGTCTTTAGGAAGAAGGTACTGGTCGGCTCCCACGGTAAGAACTCCTGTGTTGATGAGACCTTTCCTTGTCATAAAATAGAGTATCCTCTCCACTTCCTGAACACACCGAATACGCACGAGACCCCGGACGATGATGTGAGGAATGCACTTCTGAGGAGTGAGAGCTTCCTGTGTTTGGAAATGAAACCAAAACCATTAAAAAACAAAACAAAACCAAGCTCAAGAAACTCAAATCAATATCAAGAAAATAAATATCTCAACTTAAAGCAGGCAAAGTAGGAGCTAGGGACGAGCTTGCTTCGCATGCATGAGCCTGAACTGGATCCCAGAACCACAGGAAGGCAGGGGGCAAAGAACCTAAACCGACATTTCTCAAAAAACATATACGTGTGTGGCAACATGTATATGAAAAGATGCTCAACATCACTGTTGACCAGGGGAATGGAAAATCAAACTACAATGATACATCGCCTCACTAAATGGCTATTATCAAAACAGCGAAAGGGACCAGGGATGCAGATCAGCAGCAAAGCACTTGCCTGGCTCAAGCCCAAGTGCAAGGTCCAGGGGGCGCCAAGTGCTGCTGCGATGTGGAGAAAAGGGCCCCTTTGCACACTGGCGGTGGGAACGTAAATGAGTACCCTTGTTGTGAGAAAAGTGAAGTTCCACAAAAAAATGAACCACCATTTATTTTTTTACTTTAACTACTACCTATCAATCCTACTACAGGATATATTCCCAAAAGAAACATGCTAATGTACGACTGAGCTATCTGCACCTATGTTCCTTGTGGCATTACAGTAGCCAAGACATGAAGTCAAATAAATGCCAACCAACTGACGAGTGGACAGTGACAAAACTAGCCTATTTATGCAATGGAATGTTACTTGGCCTTAAGGAAGGAACTCCTGTCCTTTGCCGTACACGGAGGAAACTAGAGGACCTTATGTTAAATGAAATAAACCAGGAACAGAAAGGCAAATCCTCTACACGCTCTCTCACTTACACGTAGAAGCTAAAACATGAATTCACAGAAGCTGGGGGCACAATAGGACTTCACAGGGACAGGCACGGTGGCACAGAAGAACATACAGGTCAGAAATTAAATACTCCAGTTAAGGAGCAACAAGTTCAAGAAATTTACTGTACAACATAGTGATTAAAGTTAGTAACACACATGGACCTGAAAATCAGAGTACATTTTTTTTTTAATTTCAGTGAGACTAGAAAAATAACAAGTCATTGGAAATAATACAAAATTTCAAAAAAAAAAAAAAAAAAAAAAAAAAAACAACAACAAAAAAAAACCCCACACCCCAACATGATAGGTTCAACAATGGTTGTTATATTGCACACTGTTGTCTTCAATGTAGTTGCTCAAATAACCAGATACAAGCATTGTCTCGGTTACTCATCTCTCGTTGCTGGGACAAATACTCGACGCTCCAAATTAGGCAAGCAAAGGTTTATTTCACTACAGTTACTGGAGGTTTCAGTCCCTACTCATCTGGCTCCAAGGCAGATCAGCACATGGTAGAAAGCCTTTCATGGTGGCAGCAAAAAGCAAGAGAGCACGAGCAAATGGGAGGAGCAGCGGCAACAATGGCCACAGGGAGCAAGGCTGTCTCCCTGAAGTCATGCTGGCTATCTGCCTCGTTTTGGGTGCAGCACTCACACCCATAATCCCAGTGGATCGTGAGGTAATCACGAACTCTAGAAGTCCACCCCGTGACTGCGTAAGGCTTTGGGGGGACACCTAGAAACTGGTCAAAATAAAATTTCAAGCATTAACTACTACCTTCAAAAAAACCAACTGAAATTAGTAGCGCAATCATCTTAGCTAGCCTGTGTACACGATTTCCCTTTCCTTTTTTTTTCTTTCTTTCCTCCTTTCCCTCATCCCATTGTTCATTCCTTTTGAGCAGTTTCTTTCTCTCTCACTGTATCTACTGCCCTTTCAGATTTTATTTACCTTTTCATGTTCTTACACTATGGAGACAATATGATGTTTACACACGTGGGTCTGATTTATTTCACTTATGAGTACTGTCTATAGTTGCATCCATTTACCTATAAAAGCCTTGAGTTTATCTTTCTTGATAGCTAATACTTAAATTTTTTAATGTCCTCAAAAAATATGTAAGCTTTGACAAAAGGATGTACAAAAGGTGGTACAGGGCTACAGGATAAATCCTGAGAGTACTTGGCTGACCTTATCAGATACAAAAGTTACATTTCTGGGTATATAGGTCTTGCTTTATCTTGGTCTTAACCATCCAGCAGAAAAGTATAAAAACGAGATATATAAAGTAAATCCATATTAATATGATGAGCTGTAAAAGGCTCAAGTCAATAACTTCTGATGATAACCCACTAATATTATAGACTGCTAGACAGTGTTAGATTGTTTAGTTGAATTCAAACACCTCTAGTATTTATATGCCAATAGAATATTCACCTCTGACAGGACAAAAAAAAGGATACAAAGGAAAGATCATTTTGTATTTATATATACAAAATAGTTAGGATAAATTTATAACTACTTTTGCTTAATTCAATGAGAAGAAAGAGGTGTACTAACAGTGTTTGGACAGAGTATCCTGTCTGCTTCTTGTACTATGGATAACCACTAAGAAGATAACAATGTACAGTGTATTGACTATCAAAACTGTCCTATTAATCAGCTGTGAAACTGTCTCATTCATATTTATTTCTCAATAAAAAAATTTAAAAAATGTAAGCTTTTGGATATATTAAACAGCTTTACCTAGCCATCCCATAATATACACAAATTTCAAAATGTCATGTTCTATACCATACATAGATATAATTTTGTCAATGCAACAATAAATTATTTTAAATCTTGATTCCTCAGAATGTTGACCATAAAAGTATAATCTAGTGATTCTACTACTAGGTATATACTCCGAAGGATTAAAAACACATGTTCAAGCAAAATGCCCACAGCAGAAATGTTCAAATAGCTAAAAAGTGGAAACAATGCAGTATGTATGAGTGGATAATCAAGACGGGACGTATCTACACGGCAGAATACTGCTGCGCCGTGAAGTAGCATGGCAGTCTGGCACACAGCATGGTGCAGACGAGCCTCAAAAGCATCACACTAATTGAAGAGCCACTCACAAAAGGCCACACAGTGTACGATTCCATTTGTATGAAATGTCCAGAACGGGCCATTGACAGAGAGAGAGAGAGAGGATTAGCAGTCACCACAGGCTGGGCTGGGTGGGGTGGTACATAGCTAGCCAAGGTTTCCCTGAGATGATGAAAGAGCTCCACAGCTACAGTGGTGACAGCCATACCACACAGGATGTGTTCATGGCCCTGGACTGTACGTTTTGCAATGGGTAAGCAGTAAAGTGTTATATGTATTTTACCACAATAATAACAAAACTGCACAATAACTCACATCTAACATTTATCATTAAGATAAGAAAAACAGGGAGGTTTGCCTGGTCAAGAATAAAAGAAAAATGGACAAATGAACAATGCAGCAATTTCCACTGCAACCTAAGCTTCCCCTCACAAAAAGGACTTTTTCGAGGGATGTGGTAGCAGGCCACATCACCTTCCCAACTCAAAGGCCACTAGAAATCTAGGCTGCTCCAGATCCAGATACTGGCAGCAGCAGAGGTGGCTCTCACCACTAGAAACAGGCTGGGGCACTGGTTTAGGAACCTACGCCTTCTTTGGTCGCCCTGGCTTTGGAAGGCTTCTGGTCCATTTCAGACTCAGCTGAATAAAGCCTCAGCCTAGGATGGGATCACCAAAGGGGCCTCCTGCCCCAGGCTTGTCCTCTATTTCTTGTCACCAGTTCCCATCTGGAAATGTCTACAAACATACTGCTTGGCCATCCCTATTCCAAGAATCTGAAAACTGAAATGCTTCAAAGTCTGAATGCTAACACAGTAGTCAAAACACTTCAGATTTTGGAGAATATCAGAATTTCAGATGAGGGAGGCTCAACATGCATTTGGTAGTCCCAACCGGGAAGTGTTACTGGCATCTAGAGGTAGAGGCAAGGGTTACTGCTGAGTGTCCCGTGGTGTGTGGGATGACATCTCGTGCCCCTCAGGAATGACCTGCCCTGAATGGTAACTGTGCCAAAGCTGCAAATGCTGCTGTGAGGGCTCTGTCCAAGGTGGCGCCTCTCCTTCAGTGAGTGCTCTGCCCACACTGGGCACTGAGCACAGCCTTCCTTACCTTGCAGTTTGTGTACCACAGGGCGAGGATGAGGTTTCTCAGAGCCAGGTACATGGTGGGGTCCCGGGAGTACTCAGGAAACTCATAGAGCTCATCCAGTTCCATCACATCGGGCCGCACGCACAGGGCTTTGCCACACTCATTGGGCTGGTAAAAAGGCTGGAAATACCAGTTCATGCCTGGAACTGAGAGCAGACACAAGCAGGCACCTCCTGCAGGCCGCAACTGCCAACTCCAGGAGATCTAAAGAGCAAAAGCAAGCAAAAAGGGCAGCCCAGAGCAGCTCCGCACCACCTGCAGGGATGCTTGCTTCTTCCATCTAGCAGAGCAATGCACACAGCATGCAACACTTGCCCAGTCTCTCTCCTCAAGGCATCCTCACCCTTAACATCCACAGTGGAAAATTTTTAAAAAATCTTTTATTTATGTATTTACTTGGCACAGGGTCTCACTTTACAACTCAGACTCACAGCAATCCTTCTGTCTCAGCCTCCCCAGTGCTGGGATTACAGGCGTGCACCACCACGCCTGGTTTCAGTGGCCACTGTGGCACGCCTGGGGCTCCGGGGCCAGCACAGCATGTGGTATGGGGGCTTGAGCCCAGGTCCTTGTGCTTGCCAGGCAGGCACTTAGACCACCGAGCTATCTCCCCAGAACCTAGGAACAATTTTTAATTGAGCTGAAAACATATTTTGTCAAATTTACCACTTTAGCCAAACTGCCATGCAACAGCGCTCTAGAACTTCATCCTGCAAGACTGAAATGCAACCCCTGAACAACTCCGCAAGGAAACCTATTTCCAAAGTAACTGTTTTGGGGAATCCTCCAACTGTCAAATGGAACCATCACTGTGTCCCAAGGATGGGCTCACTGTATGGAGGGATGCACTGTCTCTCTGTTTCAAGGACTAGAGAATATTAATATAACAGTTATGTACTTCTGCAACGCTGGGGAAATGCTGTAAGGCTGCTGTTTTCTAACCTGCTTTTTAAAACTTACAATATCATAAACATCTCACATCCATAAACAAGACTTCAATGGCTATAGGATATAATGCCACTGTTACAAACAATGCTAAAGCAAATTTCTTTACACATAAATCTTTGATTCATTCAATGATTTATTTAGGATACTTTCCTACAGGGCCAATAGGAGTATCCACTGAGTCCCAGGGAATCCATTTTAAGCTTTTTGATGCACTCTGCCAAACGGCCCTTCATAAATGCACACGCACACTACCAGAATGTCACAGCCATGACACCACACCTCCCTTAATTACCACCTTAACTTGATCTTCACATGGCCACTTAAGAGGGTCCAGTGTTACTTGTTAGAAACATTAAGATAGGGCTCCAATGTAAGTGTATTTGCACCATCAAAAGTACAGCCTGTTCATGCACGGGTGGTAGAGATACAGGGCCTGGGGCTCCCTGCTTTCCAGTCCACAGTGAGTGTCACCCCTGCGCTAACCTGAAGTTCTGAATTCTGAGAGCTGAGCGCCAGTGGCATCATCAGAGGCACAAAGAAAAAGTGCTATTTACGCAGTTCAAAACTAGTAGGTCGGGGCCAATGAGAGAGCTCAGCAGGCTAAGCACCTGCTTCGACAAGTGCAAGGACTGGGGGTTCGATTCCTGGGCCTATGTGATGCACCAGTCCCGCCCCCAGGTGCCCTGAGCCAGCCACCGAGTCCAGATGTGGTGGCGCATGCCTGTAATCCCAGCGCTGGAGAGGCTGAAAACAGGAGGATTACTCCGAGCTGCGTAGTGAGACCTTGTACCAAATACATAAAAAATGAGTAAATAAAAATAAAACCAGTACGTTTCTTCTGCTAAGTCAGAGTTCCTACGTTCATTACCTTACACAGATATCCAGCTTTCCAGTCAACACTCATTAAACCCGTAGGTAATTAACGGATGAGTTTTATGGCTCCTCCAAGCTACTGCTGAAAGCTCAAGGACAGGCTACCAACGATCTGACTGACAGTCATCAGGCTCAGTGTCCTTGAGCAAGCAGGACCTCTGGGGGATCACAAGCCCCCTGCTCAAGTCCCTTACATAAAGTGGCATGGTACTCACATGCAACCTACATTCAACTTTTAGCTCATCTCTTACTTCTAATACCTAATGATATAAATGCCATGTAAACTGCTGTGCTGCATTGTTAGGAATAGTGACAAGAGAAAGCCTGTTTATGTTCACTGCAAGCATAATTTTTTTCCAGACATTTTCTCTCCAATGGATTGGCTGGATTCACTGATGTGATGGGAATGAAACAATGAGGTGCTTCATATAATGTCTCGGACATTTAAAAATATGTATCTTGCCTTTGCTTTCCCCTACATTAGTGGGGAAATACAGGGGGAAGAGAAGGAAGACTAGGGCAGCTCTCACCAAGCACAGAAGGGGTTGCCTTGGAGGGCTCCAGGCGCCTGGGGCTGGCATCGCCGGTGGTGGCAGTGGTGGCGGTGGCAGTGGCTGCAGCGCGGTTTGTGCTGGTACAGGAGGGACTCATGCCCACGCAGTCCGGGTAGTAGGCAGAGAGCAGAGGCGCTGCCACACTGTCTTTCAGCAAAGGAGGCAGGATGAGCATGGAGTACCACCAATGGTTGGAAACCTCTGACACTCTCTGAAATGAACCAGCAGGAGAAAGGGAGCCAGGGCAGAGAGGAAACGCACATGCAGGTTAGGCCAAGGACAGACAGGTATCTTCATTTCATTCATCCTTAACCCTGACTCTTCCCACAACTTACTTAGCACTGTATCAGAGTTGTGCAAGTACAGATTTAAAAACAAAAATGGCTTGTGATACTAGAGATGTTTCCTACCCAAAGTCCTCCCACTATTCATCCTCCCCTCCCACATTCTCCCACGAGGTAAGTCTTGCAGACGCCTCCGCATATTATACTATAAACCTGTTGGAAAGCCAGTGGAGAATGTATCTCTGTGCCATAATCCTCCATCATCCAGCTCTCTTTTTCACTTGGAATCTCATGATAATTGAAACTGAAAATCTGGGCCTGAAAAAACAATTATCCTAAGCAGCAGTCAAGCATGACTTTTTTTTTTTTTAAAGCATTACTGCTTTTGGGCTAGCCAAATACCTCAGATTAAAGCACCTGCAAGCAGGTGCTGGGGCCAGGGGTTCCATCCCCGGGCCTGCCCAGCCCTAGCCCCACCCCTGTAATCCCAGCTCTTGGGAGGCTGTTAACAGGTGGATCACTATGAGTCCAATCTAGCAGTGAGACCCTAAACACCCTGTAGACCCTTCCCTAAAAAAAAAAAATATATATATATATATATATATATATATATTACTGCTTTTGCCAAAAGCTACTAAGAATTGTGGAAAAGTATACTAACCAGCCAACTGCAGAAATGAACAAAAGAAACTGCATTTGGTCTTCAAATGTGTGATCATATTCCAAAGGTGGCTTAAATATGGATCAAAGCACCCACAGTGACTACTGAAATGAAAATAAAACATATGTGGCCTTCTAAAGCGACACTGCCACTGATCCCTGCTTCAGTCAGTCTTGGCTAACTGAATGAAATCTTCAGCGTTCCCTCCAAGAATACCCAGAGTCTGGTACAGAAGAGCCTCGAGCCGAGGGACTCTCCATTTCTAGGTCCCCAGGCTCCAAACAAAAGCTATCTGCCATCAAGTAAGTGGGTGAACTTGGAATCTCAGGCTGGACCTAGTTTGAAGATGCCTTCTGTTTGTTTTTCAGCGTTCAAGTCAAAAACATACTTCGGTTCCACAGGCACACTTACAACACGCGTGCTTCATACACCCATCTTACTTGCTTGGCCCCAGGCAGCACGTGCGTCGGCAAAACCTCGGCCCTCAGTGCTTGTTTTAGGTCGGCCTATGCTTCCCCAGCCTGTGCTGTCCCCCAGGAATGGGCCCCCTATGTCCTTCCCAATACACCGGGCCTGACAGCCCACCACTGCCTTGCTAACTCAGGCCGAAGGGAACTGCAGCTGAGTAGTCAGCTCCTGACACCTGGAGCAATTAGTGCAGTGGGCAGGGCCTTGGAAAATGATGTGCCACAACGGTTGGAAAATGAGTACCACCTAATCATTTCCATTTGCTGGGTCATATGGCTCAGTAGGGAAACTGAGTCAGATCTGCACAGTCCTGTCATCTTGCTGTGAGCCTGTTTTCTGTAGAGCCTCCCTGAGGGTATTTCAACCCAACTCCTGCATGGTGTAGCAGAAATTAGCATTGACGATTAAACTAGCACCTGCTCTTGCCAGTCAGTCACCAAACTTGGTTACAATAGTGTCAACATGTCCAAAAATTCCCACCCTCACAGACACCACTAAAGAGACTGTAGTCAATATAACTGATCTATTAGGATATTTAATCAAATACCCATTGTATTAGCTTACTGTTCCCCAAAGGTTCATGTCCTCCACAAACCTGAGAATGTGACCTAGGCGAGGCCTGGTGGTTCTCACCTGTAATCCCAGCGCTAGTGAGGCAGTACGCAGAAGGACTGCCAGGAGTTCAAGGCCAATATGAACTGTATAGCAAGAATCTCAAAAAACCAAAAAAGAAAAGACTGTGACCTTATTTGGAAATAAGGTTGCTGCAGGTGTTAGTAATTACAACCAGGTCACACTGGATCAGAACATGACCGGGGCCTTCGTGAGAAGAGATATGGAGTAGGGACGATACGGGAGAGATGCCGAGACCCTACACCGCTGGCAGAGCCTGGAGCAGAGCATCTGCCCTCCAGCAAATGCCAACCACTGCTGGCCACCACCAGGAGCAGGAAGAGGCAGGAAGGATCTCCTGGGCCATTGGTACCCAGATTTCACAACCATGAGCAAACACACTGCTGTTGCCTCAGCTGCCCAGTTTGTGTGACATTAAGGAAGCCCACACAGGCACTGACAATGCAGAACTTGCCACAACACTAGAATCCACAGGAAGAGAAGAGGGAAAGGCAACAGTCATGACAATAAGCCTCGAGAGACTTGACTCTCTTTTTAACTGAATGCAAAATTAAGTGAGAGATGAACACCTGAGGACTCTTCCAATATTTTAAGTTCTTCTATCTCAAGAATACAGTTTCTGACCTAAAGTTCCGAGTCTTCTGGGTGTACAAAAGTTTCCATAATCCTACTAAGGCTGGCGTCTGATAATACAGTTAGGAAACACAACTGAAACGTCTTTAACCAGCAACCAAATACAGAGAAATTCAGTGTTACTCTCATTTGCTTAGAGTACTTAACATCAAAGGCACAGTAAGCTGCCATGCAGAGCATGCAGAAATACTCACCAGATCCTCGGGCAGGGAACAATGATCTGAGTTCTCAGGCTGCAAGACAAAACCAAGCAGTGAGGCTGGCTTATAAAATAGTCTCAGACATCAACTCGCCTTCAATATGATACCACTTTTTTTAACCTATTACATGGGCAAGGAAAACACTTATTTTTTTGCTCCAAATGCCTTCAGGGCAGGTTTGGCTGGCTTGAGTTGTGGGGATCGAACCACAGCAACCAGAGCCTGACTGCTTTGTTGAAGCAGCCACTTAAAGAACTGAGCTAAGGTGCAGGCCCCTCTAAGGGACAGGCCCCCCAAGGAAAACATTTAGATAGATCATTATGAGTGAGGGAATACAGGTAGTTTGTTTTTAGGACCGAATTTCATTAGGATAGTCCTACTTTAAATATATGTATTTAAATATATATATATATTTCCATAGTAACCACTGTGGAAAGGAATTTGAGAAGACATCAACGTTTTACATGAGTAGTATTTGACACTACCATGTTTTGTGGAGGTTTTTCTGTTTTTGTTTTTTGAGACAGGGTCTTACAATGTAGCTTAGGCTGGCCTTCAACTCACCATGTAGTCCAGGCTGGCCGTGAACTCATGGCAGTCCTCCTGCCTCAGGTTACTCAGTAACTCCAGTACTGGGATTACAAGCATGTATCACCACACCCAGGAGGCACTCTACTGAATAACCAAAGATGTATACAGGACATGTTCCGCATTTCTAACTTTGATATACTTTCCACGAAGAACTTAGAACATGGGTACCACTTGAAATATTATAAACAGGGCTGGCCAAATAGCTCAGCAGATTAAAGCGCATGCTTAGGCAGACACAGCAGTGGGTAGGGTTTGATCCCCGGTGTGCTGTGCCAGCCCCACCCCCAGGACACACTGAGAAAGCGACTGAGACTGGGCATGATGGGGCGCACCTGTAATCCCTCTTCTTGAGGCTGAATACAGGCGGATCACTACAAGTCTGATCTACATACTGAGACCCTGTACTAAAATACAAAAAATATATATATATTACAAAACATTTAAAAGGCTACTGTTTATAGTATGATAAAGCTAAAGACAATGGAAATGCCCAGAGTAGACGAGAGAAATAAACTGCTTCATATTCCAACCATGGCCTGCCACCCAGCAATGTGAATGAGCTTCGGGCTACAACCAATATGGCTCACCAGCATGTGCTTCTAGTTCTTCTCATACTGCCGAAGCAGCCAGACCCATCCTACAGTGTGATGCCGTTTGTGTAAAGCGCAGAAACACACAAGGCAAAATCTGCAACTAGATTTTAAATTAGAAAAGCAAGTAGGTAGTTAACTGAGGGATCAGGGCTGTGTTGCAGGCTGTGACTGACAGGACACGAAACAAACTGAGGGGCTGGTGAGTGTCGATTTCTATACTGGGAGCAAGACAAATGGATGCGCTGTGAAATCTCACTGCGCTATGATCCTGACTTGAGCCTTTTTCTATTTGAATATTATGCTTCAGTTTTAAGAAGCTGCCTAACTAAAACTGGCATACTATATGGCCTAGCAGTTCTAGTCTTTGGAATACATTCCCTAGAAACTCAGGAAAGTAGGTACTAAAAAAAAACCCTCGTGAGACTGGGAATGAGTGCTCCAGAAAGCACTGAATGTTAACAGCCAAGTCCGGAGCAACCCTCATATTCATGATCCAAAAAGACTTACTACGGTAGGCTCACACAGTGTAATACATGCAGAAGGGGCGAACTAGTAAACTAGGGCTTTTAACATCAATACGCACACATGTTGGTAATCTCAATGCTAAGCAGAAAGCACAAGGTGCAGAGAAACACAAAAAATATAATTGATAAACAGGAAAAATAAACACAACTGTGATGTATACCTGTATCCCAGCACTCTGGGAGGCTGAAGCAAGAGGATCACAAAATTGAGACGGGGCAAATTTTTGACTTAAACCCTGTCACAAAAATAAAAATAGGGTCAGGCATGACAGTGATCCCAGAACTTGGGAGGCTGAGGCAGGAGGATTGCTGTGAGTATGAGGCCAGCCTGGGCTACATAGTGAGACCTTGTCTCCAAAAAAAAAAAAAAAAAAAGAAGAAAAAAGTGAAAAATAAGTTATAAACAGCACTGGCCTGGCAATCGTGAGGTCCTAAGTTCAATTTCTGGTACAAAAAAAAAATTTCATAGAAACATACTTAAAATTAAAAAGGATTAGGGATATAACTCAGTGCAAAGGTCCTACATTCAGTCCTTATTACTGAAAAACAAAATAAAACACAAAAAAGTACATAACTTACCATGTCGTTTAACACTTCAGAAACATGTATTAATTCTAACAAAAAGCAAGGGATAATATGCTCCGAATTCCCATGCAGGAAAGGGGAAGGCAATGCACTAGGAGAGGCAAAGTCACTGGCAGGGCTGGGCTGCAGGCGCCTGTGCGTGGGTGTGTGCGTGCACTCTACGCTTTCCACATACAGTACAGGCACCTTCTGTGTCTGCACATTATCTCGTACACATATACACAGGCATTACTTCATAAAGTCGTTTTGTTGGGCTGGTGAGATGGCTCAGTGGTCTAAAGCACCTATATGGAACAAGCTTGGCAAAGCACAGGGACCACGGTTCGATCCCCAGCACCACATGCCAGCCAGCCCCGCCCCCTGGTGGGCTGAGCTGGCCACACACACACAATAAATAAATAAATGTTAAAAAAAAAAATAAAGTCGTTTTGTTGCCTGGCGGGCACCAACTCCCCAGAAGGAATGTAGTCATCGTGTGACGCATACCCGGCTAATAAAACACAAAACCTGAGAAAGTGCCATCCATAGAAAGCTACTTACTACAACTCAGTCACTAATGATGCAACATCTAAACGTGACCTAAATGCCTCTGACAGTGCCCAACTAGACACGGTATGTCTATTAGGAGGGCTACTCATCAGAGGCACAAAAGAAAAAGATATTTCATTGTGGTGTGAAAGTGTAGGACAGATGAATGACAAACAGCAAGGTCCAAGAAGGTACAGTTTATTCCCACTCTCTTTAATGCTGTTCGACCAGCAAACCTTCCTCAGCTTTGTCCTTGACAGCAAACCAGGATGGACACCAAAATGACCCTGGGTTAATGAATGGCATGTAAATAGAGGTCAAAAGTTCAGCTTAGGGCTGTGACCCATTCAGATGGGAAAAACAGGTCGAAGAGGCCTTTTAAAAGGCGAAGATGAGGGAGTCCAGGAAGGAGAGCTACAGGGGTCTGCTTTCATCCTTGGAAGCCAGAACCAAGGACCACCTAGGCTTATTTCATCTGTAAGGTGACAGGAGGAGAGAGCAGGCAACTCAGTTTGCAGAAACAGAAGGAAGCTGACATCTCTGAAGCCCTCCTGGAGAAAATCATTAAAACACATCCAACCAGGCAATCAAACAAAATAAGGAACTCAGAACAGAAGGGCCACAGAAAGAGCCAGCAGATCCATTAACTGTAGCAGTGAGAAGAAGCCATGGAAGGCTTACAGATATAGTAAGAAAATAACAAAAGCTCTGATCATCTAAAAAAAAAAAAAACCTCAAAAAGTAAAAAAGAGAAAAATGATGTAGGCACAATATAATTTACTTCTGATTTCATGACAGGGTGTCAATTAAATGCATCTATTATAGAAACATTTTTTTCTTTTTTAATCTTTATTTATTTGCTACAGGGTCTCACTACAGAGCTTAGACTTGTAGTGATCATCCTGTCTCAGCCTCCTCAGGGCTGGGATGACAGGCATGTACCACTCCCCCACCACCGCCCTCCCCACCTCCGGTCTTGATGGCCACCCCAGCTCAGCTCAGCATGCAGAGCTGGGAGCTTGCTAGGCAGGCACTTAGACCAATGAGCTATCTCCCCAGCCCGTTGATGGGTTTTTTGTTTTTTTTTTTAAACATTCCCACTTCTTACTATTCTACTATATTCTAGGGAGTATTTAGCAACTACTCAAGGTACTAAATAAATAAATAAAAGGTAAATTATTCTATGTTCAATAATTCTTTTGTCACCTTGGCTTCTTTTTCTTGATTTAAGTTCACATTATATTCAAACATTTTACAGCACACCACATACACAATACTACTCCTTAACAGTAAGTTACTTACCAACCACTCTTCACAGGCCTACAGGGACACTCTTCAATGAATATCATGTGATAATGGTTATCAATGACAACACAAATTTTTGGCAGTTATTTCTATTCTTTTCTGTATTTTTTTAATTTTTCAATGATGAACCCATATCATTTATCTAAAAACAAAACCATTCTAAAGAAAACCTTAGTTTCCAAAAACTACTTAGACTGGTAAAACAAGACAACTGCCACCCAAGAGGGAAAAATAAGGCACACAGATGTTTGAGACAATTGGCAGAGATGAAGGCAACACTGTAAATTATTAGAAGGCCAAAGAAAGGGGAGATGACAGGTAACTCCAAGTGAGAGTTCAGTCAAAGCAGAGAACAAAATGTAAAGCCATACTTAATAATTCAGTGAGCAAATACTACATGAGTCATCCAGAATCTGTTTTAACAAACTGTTCAGAACTGAACCCTGCATAAACAGGTTGTGTGGAAAGAGAGCAAAGACCAGACTATCGCAGGAGCTTCTGACTGCTGCTTGGCTCAAGTCCTTTTGAATCTATGAAATGCCACTGAATGCACTTTGCCCTTAAGGAGTCTGGGAAATCAAAACAACAAAAAAAGACAAAACAAAACGGAAAAACGAGAGCAACCTGGGCACAGGTGCCGGTAAGTCCATGCAACAGCAACTGGACATGGCTTCCACTGGCTGGGCCCGTCCCCACGTGTGCCAAGCCCGGGGTCCCCCAACTCAGCACTCAGGCCTCTGCCAGCCCCTCCCACCTGTTTCTCTTCCACCAGGGGCAGCCTTTTCCTCCAAGGGTTCACGGTTCTATCAAATTCTTAAGTCACAAGAATCAGCATCAGCTGCTGTCCTCACAGAACAAACAACACCTGCATGGGCAGTGCCTACGTAATCAGCCACTCCACAGTGTG